ATTTGTAATTCCCTGATGTGTAGTGAGGATGAACTCTTTTCATGTTTGCTGACCATACCTTTTCTTGTGAAGTAGAAATCCTGTATGTAATTTCTCCTCCTCTAAATATCTTGTGTAGCTTGTGTTTTTCTATACACCAAGGGACAAGGCAGAGACCAGTGTGCCTGGGATAGGCATGTCTGTTGAGCAGTGTCAGCGAGCAAACGGCAGGGCTGTCGGGATCAGATGATGGTCTTTTCTTAAGAAAGCTCAAACAGCAGCAGGGAGTACAAGGTGGGAAAGGGCTGACTGCTCAGAGGCAGGGCAGAGAGGCGTCTGAAAGGTGCAGGGAGGAAGACTTCAATCCTGGGGGAAGGAGACAAAGTCCAGGAAGAATACATTTCTCCCTTCCCTTTCTTCCTGACTGGGGTTTTGACGCTTATCCTGAAAAAGACCTTCTCTGCTTTATAGCTGCTGAGTTTGGAAAAAGTGAGACCAAGCATTTTGCAGAGCTGGGAGGTCCTCTAGTCACATGGAAGACTGCATACGAGCATCCTCCCATCTGGCATCCTAATCCTCGGCACCTCCCTTCCCTCCCAGACCTGACTGCGGATTTCATGAGGCGGGAGCCACAGCTGTCTGTACCATCTCTGCACCTGGCATTTAGCAGACCTAAATCGATGTGGTGTGAATGAAGGCAGGCCATTTATTGAAGAGGAGGAAGAGGACAGAAATAACATGGAAGAGAACTGGATACTGAGGTCGGGTACTCTGATGGCTGCTTGATACACACCACCACTCACCCCAAAACAGCTGGCAGGTTAGTCCTAAATCCCCATTTCAAAGATAAGGAAACCGAGGCTAGAGAATGTAACAACATGCTCAGGGTCACAAGGCTGCTACATGATTGAGGCAGAACTAAACTGAGGTCTACTGGACCTCAAAACCTACTCGTCCCTACCACCCTACTCAGCCCCATGGTTGACTACAGAAGACAAGGCCTTGGCCAGCCACAAGTGGTCAACTCCATGGGCCCATAGGGTCTCCTTCAGAGCCACCCAGCATCAAGGTTTCTACTAGAATACAATAAAGGGTTCTGGTTCTAAAGAGGCACAAGTCACCCTTGGCCCCATGATAGCTGAATCCAGGCCATGTGTGGGTGAATCCCACTCCTAGTTCTTTTGCTTCCTGCAGAAAATTACAAAGTGTCAGCTGAGCAAAGGCTCTGAGGCCAGGGGTGCCGTGGAAGCACAGGTAAGATGGCGAGGGGTTCAGCAGCAATGACTCACGACAGCACAGGCAGTCAAGGGTCTCCCCTTCCTGGTCCATAAGCCCATATGGCAGATGCACCTGAATGTGTGTTTGGAGTTTCTGAGCTAAGGAATATGGGAGTGGCCAACTCGGAGGCCCATTCCTTATCTATGAGAAACATCTGAACCTTCAGCCCTTGTGAAGCAGTGAAGTGAAAATCCATGGAACATAGCCGTACAGGACACTGAGGCCCTTTGTTTTGGGTTAAATCAAGCTTGTCCAACCCAGAGGCCACAGGCTGCATGCAGCTCAGGATGGCTTTGAATGCAGCCCAACATAAAGTCATAAGCTTTCTTAAAACATTATGAGACTTTCTTTGTGATTTTTAAAAAAAAATCTCATCAGCCATCATTAGTGTTAGCCCAAGACAATTCTCCTCCCAGTGTGGCCCAGGGAAGCCAAAAGATTGGCCACCCCTGGGTTAAATGAAGGCTGCCAGGTAGAAGCCGTTAGCGAGAGTGAAATGCTACAGAAACTGCATGCTGTCTGTGAGTAGTGGTTCGTTGGCTCAGCTGGCCCCGGGGCCTTGTGGTTCACCTGTTCATCCCACTGCCACTGGACTGTCCCCGTATGTAACTTTTAACTGCCACTGTATGTAACTAATAAAACCCTGTGTCTCATTTTCTGGGTCTGGGCTCTTCTTTGACCTCTCAAACATGGTGCCATCCCTACTGAAGTTAATAGGGGTCCTGCGGGAACATGCCCACTTCTGTGGACAACGGCCTTGTTTCGTGACACTGTCAGATGTGCAGAAATACCTGGGGATTGCATGGCCCCAGCCTGCTGGATACTGCAAGGCCATCAGAGAAAAGCCTGATGTAGCCCAGAGAGAAGGCTTCGCCATCCCAGAGAGCAGGTGTTGGGGTCAGGTCACCTTTGATGATAAAAATCCATCTCAGCATGCACACATGCTCATCCATTAATCCAAACCTGAAGCACTATGACATGAAATAGAACCCCAGTATTGCTGTACGCCAGCACCTGCCAGCACACACCAACACTTTTACAGGCATTACTTCCCTTAATCCTCCCAGTAACTCCCAGCAGAAAGCATTAATGTCTCCATTTTACAGATGGAGACACCAAGCTGAAAGGAGGCACAGTGACTGAATTGCTGCATGGGAGCCAAGGCTCCTGGGCCCTGGTGCCCACGCTCCATCAGCTGCACCATACTCAAAGCCCAGGCTGCTTCTTCAGGTGCTGTACAAGGCTGTCACAAGGCCCATGTGTTCTCAACAGCTCACTGCTTTCTGTCGGGAAAGGGAAACAATATTCCTCGCTTAGATCTTACAGCGTGGCTTTGAGGAACAATTACTCAGAAATATTATAAAGCACAGGAGCCCTACAAAATGAGATTTCCATGCTCAAGGATAATCATTTAGGAAATAAATACTACAGACAAAAGATTCCAGAATTCTCTTCCTCCTTGAAAATGAGTCTGGATTTTGTGCAGGCTTTCCTTACCTGCCAGTCTCAACAGGTAGAAGGTGGGGGCTGACCAGCCTCCCCGGGTGGACGGCAGCAGGATTCCAGCCAGCCCCTTGGATACACCACGGCTCAGCCAACAGCCCCAGCCCTCAGCCTCCCCATCTCAACCTGCTCTCACCCGGAACTGTACTCTAAGCTGTTCTGGGTGGTCAAAGATGATGTTGCAGCTTATCCAACTTTCCCCCGAACAGGTTTTTACTGTCAATTCCTAAACTTAAAGGAAATGGGGGAAAAAAGGAAAGGGATGTGATGACTGGAAGGTCCTGGAGCCGTGTGTACAGAAGCTAGAAATGTCAAGGTCTGCGAGTATTCAACAAATTAAAGTGGAATCGTATAAAAGCAACAGCTAATAAAAAAAGATTGTCAGATGCTGTGTTTTCCATCTTCCCAGCCATTACAGGAATAAAATTATCCGAGGAGAAGATCGAAAACCTTTTTCAAAACTAATACAATTAAGCCTCATTCTTCTGCCTCCTTTCTGCCTCTCCCCCTGGCTCTCCTTTAATCCTCCTATCTCCCACACCAATCTCCATTTCCTGAGATGTTGGAGGTACTTTCCTTTTTTTTTTTTTTTTTTAATATTATCACCAGCAAAATGCTGTATTTAAGAATCAGAAAGGAGATCATGCTTTTGCACCTCCTTCTGGAAGCGTTTAATAACTCTTCACAATCATCTAAGAAACCTCGATTTTTAAAAAGCCCACTCCTATATACGTAAGGACTTTGGACTTCACTTAGACGAGAAAGAAGTCTCATCTAGAATTTCCTCTCCTTCAGTAAGGAAGAGACTTGGTTTCTAGGAGGAGAACTAGGGTAGAGATGAGAGAGGAGAATGACAACGGGAAAACAGATTTTAGAGAGGCAAAAATGCTGTGAGGCTCTTTCCCTGCCATCCCAAACAGAGATACGTACACATGTCTCTAGCAGCTAAGTCCAGAGAAGGAAACATGGGGAGCACAGAGGAGGCCAAAGAATTGCACAAATAACAAAACAAAAAACAAAAATAAAAAAACCCTGTGCCTATGAACATATGGGCAACTGTGATAATTAGAGCTATGGCTGGTGGAATCTTTTTTACCCTTTTCTGGGATCTCAAATCACAATCCTTGTCATTATAAACTACAGTCAAACCTGTGCGTGAGGCTGCTCTGTGAAAGATTTGCTTGTTAAGGGCCACTCGGAAAGCGGCTCAGAGGTGCAGTGCCGATCCTCAGACTGTGGGATGTCACCATCAGCACTCTGTGTTCATGGCATGTCAACTCTGGCCATCCCCTAAACACCTGGCAAAGGTGGACAAGCAGGTGTTCATGGGGCATGGAAGATTCTCCCTCATTTCCACACTGCCTGGAAATCCAGAAACCCACATTTCTGCCAGGCTCCACTGTGGCATGCCACAGGAGAAAACCCCTGTGGAAATCAGACCCCTTAAGCAAACTGTCAATTTCAAAGCTCCAAACCGTGACAAATGATTTGCGAAGATTTGCCTGCAATAAGCTGATGGCTCAGGTTGCTTGGCATGCCGTCTCAGGCATGAGGGAGAACAATTTTCTTTTTTAACCTCCCAACCATCCCCTCCCACGTTTTAAGCCATTTCTTTGAAAAATCTGTCATGATCCACAAATTAAACCAAAAAATAAAGTAAGCAAGTTACCAAATGAATTTTCAAGAGTCATTGTAGGCTTTTTTTTAAGGCATGATGATGTGTCTTTAAATCTCATTCATTTCAAAGGCTTATCTTTAGAAAAGCAGTGAGTGTGCAGCCATAGTGCACTTTGATCTTCCCGACTCCCAGGAGAAAATCAATAATACAACTTTAATGTATTTGTATAGCAAGACATCACGTTATTATTATTTTTACCAAATGCAGCTTAACTAAAGTAGAAAAGGTATACTGGGACTCAGCACCGCCCTGTGGTGAAAGTGAATTTTTTTCTAAAACTGAACTACTGTACAGCCAGGCACATTCAACAACAACAACAAAAAAAGTGGGGGTGGGGAGACAATTAAAAACCAATTATCTCCATGAATTCAACTTGTTGAAAGGCCCCATTTGGGTGCCTGCTGCAGAATGCAGGAGGGCATGTCCAAGGAGTGATTGGCATTTGGGCGAGTGGGCGCTGGGCCTGCGGGCTCCTCGCCCCAGCCCCCAATGATGGTGGTGTGTTCTGGTCAGATGCCTTCAGGACCTGGCCCCAAGAAATGCAGCCAAGCAGCAGTCTTACCTTCCTCTCAATACGCCCCAGCTGCTCCTTGTAGAAGGTGTCACGGCGTCTTAGCTCTGCCTCTCTGCTCTCCAGCTCCCTGGCCTGCTTGGAAGAGAACAAAGCCCATATTAGCCAGCAGCAATGGTACTGGACTGGTGCTGCAGGGAGAAGGCACCTGACTTTTCTGCTCACATTCATAATGAGAACAGTAGCAACAATGAATTGAAAACCTTATGATATGCCAGATCATTCACATATATTGTGCTAAATTTTCACAACAAGCCTTCGAGATGGGTAGCCTTTTCACAGATGATGAACAATAACATTTAGGATTATGGGAGTCCTGTTCACAGTGCTCCCACAGTTATTTCCTTTGATCCTTACCCAGTTGTAAAAGGCAGGTGGCATCATCATGATACCCCCACTACAGATGAACAGCCAGACAACAACTGGGGGCCTAAGGAAATGTCGGAAAACTCATAGCTGCTTGTAGTGCTAGAGACTGAAACTTGGTCAATTCAGGGGTACCTGGCTGCAGGGTGTGCTGCTGTGAGCTACACAGCTCTATGCTGGCCTTGGTGTCTTTATGCTTGGAACCACGCCATGCCACAGCCACAAGGGCAGGGATCCAGGCCTGCAGGAAGGGAGCAGAGTCAGCTGGAGGGTCACTGCTCCCTCATCCGCCTGATGGGGATGGCTGAGTCCCTGTTGGAGCACAGGGCCAAGGGCCTCCCTCCAGGCCCAGTTAGGCTGAGGGCTCAGCTCACCAGGGCAAGCGACCTGAGGCAGACCTGCAGTTGAACCAAGCCCACCCTTAACTAGCTAGGTGACCTTGAACAAGTTCCTGACCTCCAGCTTCCTCAGGTATGATGTGTAAAGCTGGAAGCGATGCATAGCTATACAGAAGGTTAAAGGAAACCCCAACAGATATGGGCACTACCTCAACAGGCCTCCACAAGGCGTCACCAGCACATGGCAGGGCAAGGATGTAAGTCCCCTCACTGGGGATACTCATGTCCCCAGAGTCTCCTGGGGCTTCCCAGGACCAGGCCCCAATATCTACCTCTACCTCCACGGACCAACTGTGTAACAACTCCACACTGAGGGTCAGGGTGGACACAGTCACAGGGGCCTGGGAGCTCAGGACTGCCTTTTTTGACTGTATAGAGGAATAACACCATCTGCTCGCTGTCTGTCCCTGTGCTAGGGCTGAGTGTGCTCAGGCACTCTGCTAGGCTCCTGATGGCACTTAATCCTCACCACCTCCAGGAGTACAAGCTAGCCAGCGACTAGGCTAGACTGTGAACCTAAGTTCATACGACTTCCAAGCCCTGAGCTTTTTCCTTTTAAGCCACAATATGTTATCAGCACATGGGTTTGAATCATTCAATAGCACAGGGTAAGATAGGAACCCATGTTTTTGAAAACTCATCTCCCTGGCAATGCTATTCCTGCTGGCATGGAACCTTGCGGAACCACCAGCAGGGAAGTCTATAATAAAAGCTGACCACCCAGCAGTGCCCCTGAGTGCAGAGCAGGAGAAAAACTCAGGTGAAAGGACCATGCCAGGCCAGTGGGCCTGGGTGGCTGGCTGAAACCCTGAGAGTCAAGTTCTCATACTGGCTCTATCGCTGAGTGGCCTCTAGGAAGCCTGAGCAAGATGCTATCTTGTCTGTTTTCCCTTTACCTGCAGAAGGGAGAAGTAGTAACCTGGATCCCCAGGCAGCTGCAGAGGATCTAAAAATGCCAGGAAGGCTTCTGGCATGCCTCTGGAATGCCAATGCTTCAGAAAAGCTAAATACAAACAGTGGGACTGAATGCCAGGAATTTCTCACAGGGCTTTTCAAAGTGTGCTGCTGAAGCTGTGTCCCAGGAATGCAAGCATGGCTAATATGTGCTGGGCCTCTCGGCAGCCCAGCACTTAACTGTTACCAATCCCTGGTGCCGTCAGAGGAGAAGCTCGTCTGATGCAATTAAGCAGCCAGTACAAGAAAGTCTCTGAGGGCTCTGGACCTGACATTTTTTGACCAGCAGTCCCAGCCAAGCAGGAAGATGACATCTGAAGGCAAAACCATTGTAAGGCTCTTCACCTGCCATTCTCTAGGGTCAAGTAAAGCAGCAGAGACAAGGAGGTGCGTCCACACATCCACCACCATCCCACTGACACACTGTGATGCCTCCTCTGGGCCAAGGCTACCAGAAAGTTCATACCGAAGCTTCCAGAGCCTGTGCCAATAGGATGTCGATGTGAGGAATGGGAGGCAGAACTCAAGTGTTAGGTGAAGATGCCTAAGCATCAGCACCTCCTCAGGCTAGAGACTGTTCATACAACAGGAAGAAACAGGACATCACGGTCTGCTTTTCTATTCATGTCCAATGCAACACAATCGAGCAGTTAAGAATGAAATGAACTGTTTAGAGAGGGATGAGGCTGTGCCTCCCACTTGAATGAAAACTCCACTACGTGCACCATATCCCCAGCACCTTGACTTTGTCACAAGTGAGCCAGAAGGGTGGCAAGCTCACTACCTCGGATTCATCCACTACAAAGCACTGCCCACCAGCTCTGCTCATCTCTGAGATTTAGAATGCAATCCCAACAACTGACGATGGACAGGAAGTGACACAAAAAATGGCTGTAGAAACTGAATATGACACAAACGCCTGTGTGTCAGTGCCTGGCCCAGAGCAGGTACTCAGTGACCTGGCTGTGACATATGTAAGAGCACATCGGGCAGCACCTGCCACTCCACACAGCTGCCCCACAGTCTCATAGCGGCTTCCTAGCTAGCACTCATGAGAGGCCACACAGCACGCAACATAACTGTGGTTTCAGTGTCTGAGTGTGTCACTTACCAGAACACCATGCAGGACCTCCATGTGACAGATAGCATCGTAAAGGGACTGAGGACACAACAGGGAAGCCAGAGAGAGTTTCTGCTATCATGAAGCTTAGATCCCAGTGGGAGACACAAGTGTGTGTGCAGATAAATAATTTCAGAGAGAGATGTGCCAGGGAGACCATAAGACAGATTCACTTGTAGGGTTAGCGGGTTGCTATTTTCCCTAAGGAGATTTCTGAGAAAGTCTTCAGGAGAAAAAAACATGGAATTAAGAATCTTGTCTCTAATACAAAGTAAAATATCACCATTGTGAACATGTACTCAGCAGATGACAGTCTTTGAATAGAGAATTGAGAGAATCTGCATGATTTAGTCAAGGACCTCCTCCAGTCAAGATGACACAGTGAGTTCACACTTTGGTGCCTCTACCCTACTCCAAACACATAGCACTGGCAGATAAAATATAGAACAGGTGACCAAAAAGACATGGACAGGTTCAAAAACAAGATTAAATTATCCAACACAGAACAGAAATGCAAAGCAGTGGGTGGGGCTGAAGCACAGGCCTGCTGGCTCCAGGTCTGGAGCAGGCAGAGGCAGTCAGGACCCCTCTTTATCCTGAAGGGTCAGAATAAACCACCTCCACACAAGTAGGGGCCTAAAGCCAGGCTGGCCACCTGCAGCCTAGGGATCTCCCTAAAATAAGAAGCTGATATAAAAAACGTCTGAAGACCTCCACTGAGGGCTGGGGTTTTCAGTTTGCTTAAACCTAGAAATCCCAGAGGGTACAGATCCAGCCCCTGAACCACAAATATACCTAGTGACTCAGTTCCTGCCTCTGCAATATCATTAGGACCACTGCAGAGACAGGCCTCAGAAGGCCAAAATCAGACTTGGTCCCGCACTGGGGTCATGTGTAGGTGACGATAGAAATGTTGAACTTTCTACTCCAAATGAACCTGCAAACCAAATCTCAAATATGTGACAAAATATAATTTCTAAAAAGGCTACCAATAAAAGCAATAACTGAAATACAAATTCACGCCAGATGACATTAATTTTATAGGACAATATGACAAAGGATTTAAAAAACTTTTTATTATACAAAAATTTAAATAAGACAGAAGAATACAATAAAACCCCGGGTAGCCATCAGCAAGCTTCAACAATTAGAAACTAAAGAGATCTTCTTTCATCTCTACCCTCCACTTTCTCCACCCCCAAGTTTCTTACAGATCACTTCAACTACATATGCTTCAATACACTGCTCTAAAAAATAAGGACTTTTATTTTCCAAAACAGAACCATAGTACAACTGCATATCAAAAATAACTTAACATGAATTCCTTAGCATCATCGATATCTAGCCAGTATTACTATCTCCAAATGATAAAGAATTTTAAATATGCATATTTAAGGTTGCTCAAAAAGATAAAACGAAGTAACTTCTGATTTACAAAAAAGAAATTATGAACCACATAGGCTAACCCCCAAAGGTTAAGATTATACATTTAAAAATCTACAAAATAAAAAATGAAGCAAAGGAAAAATTATCAAAGTAAAATGAAGTACAGAGATTTGAGCAAGAATGTAGCAATGGAAGACAAAGATAAAAAGTCGGGAGGATTGCTTCAGTCCAGGAACTGGAGACCAGACTGGGCAACAAAGCAAGACTCCATCTCAACAAAAAAATAAAAATAAAAAGTTAGCTGGCTGTGGTGGCACATACCTGCTACTTGGGAGGAGGATCTTTTGTGCCCAGGAGTTTGAGGCTATGGTGAGTTATAATTGCACCACTGCACTCCAGCCTGGGCAACAGAGTAAGACTCTGTCTTAAAAAATAAAAAAAAAAACTAAAGATAAAAAGTCTGGTAAAAGCTAAGAACTGTGGAAGATGGATTGATGGTCCAGAATGTATTGTTTCAGAAAATGAGCGAGGAAGGCCTGGAGAGGAGGATTGGGTAAAATAGGGGAAGGAAGACAGAAGCCAGAGTAGGAGGCAGGTTAGAGGACAGGAGGTGGGTGAGGTAAGGGAGAAAGACTCTGGTGAGGGGTGAGTGAGGAGGAGTGAGAGGGAGGAGGGGAGGGAGAAGGAGAGGATGGTAAACAGAAAAGATCTAATAGAATTATAGAAATAAGTATAAATAAATCGGTTACCACAAAAAGCACGTGAAGGGGGCATCTAGGATGGCTCCTGATGATCTCCACCTCCTGGGCCTTATGCCCCTGTGGGATCTCCTCCTCTTAAGTGTGGGCTGGAAC